CATGGGAATATTCAGATGTAAGTGAATTGCTCATGGACAAAGGAAAGCTGTAAAAAACAATACAGACAGCATACTTAGTCAATTCCATTATGTAAAAAAGTAATGTCAAGTAATTTTGAAGTTAGGGGTTTGTTGGTTTTTTTTTTTTTTTTTTTTTTTTTTTTTTTGTTTTGTTTTATTTTGTTTTATATGTTAAACAGAACAAGCTGAAATGAGAAAGGTATATTCTTGAAAAATGAAATGCAAACTCAAGCCATTCCTAGTAAGGTGAATTTGACTAAGAATTGTTTTACTGTTTGTTCTATTGTCATTTAATCTGTATCTACTGAAATTAGAAACTGAACTTTTCCTGTCATTACAGTGACTGTTTCCATACATACCTTTCCACGTAGGATATTTCTAAATATATTTGTTATCAAGTATGTATTTATATACATATAGTGTATATTTTTAATATTTATAAACAAAAATATATTTATATATATATATAATATACCAAAAGGAATATATGCATGTATACATATATACATATACATATATATACCTTTTCTTTGGCAGATACATTAACTGGAATCATTGATCACTGTCAGGAAATCTAGTTTGTATAAATGTAACCAACAGAGAAGAAGTATGACCTAAGAAATAGTATGTTTGATGGCATTACGTAAAAATACAAAATACTTAACAAACTTGCATTTATGAATATTCTGTCTCCTGCATTTTGTTCTTAAAAAATAGCTAATACAATTTGGCTTTTATCCACAAAAACACAAACAATAACAAAACATAAACAATAGAACAAATGGAATGAGTAACTTTGTTTATATCATGAATCATCCAATGTTTACCTTTCTATGAAAATGGCAATTACAAAACCTGAGAAGGAAAATCCTGTATTCACATACTCTAATGTTTCTCTCAAACCCTTCTCAGAGCTATGAAGAAAGGATGTTTTTTAACACTGCAAAAAGTTTTGTTCTTTCTCTTAATTCCCTTTACAATTGAAGTGTTAGGAGTAGGGAAAAGTACTTTGGTTTGCAATAATTATCTTACAATGTTTAATCTGCTAGATGCATTACTTGAGCTTATGTATTGGAGCAGCTTTATAATTCCCCATCTGTGTAAGTCTTTTTAAGATAGGATCTTTAAGGTTCCCAACTCAAACTGCCCTACTGTTGGAACATGAAACTCTTCACTTTATTGGGCCTTAAGGGTGCCAATTTACATAGCTATGTAGAAAAGTACTCACTAATTTAATTACAATGTGTAAATAATTTAGTTCTAACCACCAGCTAAAACAGTTTTATATCACCATCTAAAACTTTACAAGACAATGGACTCTAAACATGAGGAACAACTACTGTTATACAATTACACAGATGGCCTTTTAATTCTTAATGCTCAGAGGATATCATAATTGTATGTGATTTTCATACATGCCAGTGGGAATGAAGTAAATATAAAGAAATTGTGAACATCTGAAACGTGGAGAGTTTCTTCCTCCACCTCCCTTCTTTCAGAAGAGAAATACCTATCTACAGGAATGTGTATATTCCCATTTAAGAGCTACCAGGCCTGGAAACCTGGATGTTAAGATTAAAGCAACTTTTTGTTTTTACATCTTGCATAAATGTGGTCAAATTCAATTCTGTTCTAGCTTTTATTTCAATGGAATTCCACCCACTTATGTGCAATCTTAGTGAAGCTTATAGAGCATTTTTGTAAGGATACAGGCTCAGCTTTTCACAGCTGCCAATGGCATTTAGAAGCATTAATTTTGTGGAAAATGGTCTCCCAAAGAAATGTTGACTGTATGATCAGAATTTTACTGAGGGTAAAAAACTCTTTTCTGTTATACCAACAGAATTCCAATTGACTTGAAAAGGAGCACATCAAATTCAACCCCAGTTTAGGAAGCTCAAATGTATAACTGGAAATATTATATCAAGAAAGACTAATTATGAATTTGTTTCAGATGCACAGGTGTTGCATGCACTTAAATACATAATTTTGAGCTCTTATACATCTAATTTATTGTATACTGGTTATTATCATAGTATCAGCCACCCAGTTGTGCGCTGTATCTCAAACCTGTGTGTTCTCACATCCTTTTTCCATGAGCAGATGCCTATGAATTGTTTAAATTTTGATTTTTGTTACATTATGTATGTATGAGAAAACAATTGATATGTGTGAAGTCCGTGTCTTCAGTACTTAAGTTAACAAAGCCAAGGTTGAAAATTACACCTTGCATGTAAGTGGGAAGGCTAGTCTTTTTCTCATTTCCTAATGGAATTATTGCTCCCATCTTAGGCAATTCCCAGAGAAAGGACATATAAATCTCTACAGAAACAGAGAACAGCACAGAACCTTAGAATCACAGTAAGACAAGTCTTAGAGGTACAGCACTAGGTAGAATAGACTCTTTCCGGATCTAATAAATTCATAAACTAATTTTTTGGTTAATATTACAGCTTAGACAAACACAAGTCAACAACCACAATAAAAAATGATAGAGAGTAAGTTAATTTAGAAAGTAAATCTCAACTAGCTAGAAATACTCAGTTAGAAATTCATCTTAACAGCTACTGCACGGCCCGGTTGCAGAAAAGCTCAGGAGCAATGGCATGGCCAACTTTGATGGGTTTAGGAACAAATAAATACTGAGCAATTCCATGGCCCAGTCCAGATCCCACTGAGATCCAGAAGATTTTGAATGAGACTGTATAAGATCCTGGCAAATCATTCGACATTGCATGTCATTGGAATGACATGAGCATTCTTGCTTGCCCACAGCAGAATGTCAGTCTGAAGTGAACAAATACCAATCAAACTCTAGCATACAACTGAGCAAGCTTACAAGGAATAGGCAGATGCCACTTTAGGTGAGATTTTCTACATTAAGCAAGCAGCAAAACATTAATATTCTGTTTTATTTACATTCATCACTGCCATATGTCAAACTAGGAAAAAAAAATTCCCTTAGTCAGAATGTTATTTTGGAGCATTAGCTGTGAAATACTTTCAAATCCAGAATGACGCAATTTAGCAGAAACTACTGCAGAAGTGATCTGTGGTATCTAAGTTGATCATCCTGAATTTTTTCTCATATAAAGTGAGACAATATTCAAAGCCACTCAAAAAAAATTTTGAAATTCCATTTTCAGTAAAAATGAATTATTAATGTAAACCATCAAGAGTTAGCAAAAGTAGTCACACACACACAAAAAAGAAAAAATAAGAAACAAAGACACAGCAATCCTTCTACCCAGAGGTCCTGTTAATCCTTGGCAACATCCACTGATTGTGACCAAGAGGCTGTTCCACATTGCCAAGCTTCCTCACATATGTACAACCACTGTAATGTTGATATTTTATGAAAGAATCTACATAAAGTTTAATTACTCATAATCTCCTCAGCAGACATAATCTAATCCCTTCACTTTTTAACAAGTGAAGGCTTTGTATCAATGAAAGAACGTATTACATGTACATAAAAAACAAGAGATTGAAATAGGGCACTCACATTCTAAACTGCTGGATTTAACGCTGCTGAGATTATTCTATTGAAAATACCTTCAACCATCCGCATTAGAAACACTTTGGCCAAAGACCATGAGATTGCATTGACCATTTATCTTTGCAAGATAACTGTATGCATTTATTACCCCAATATTTTTATAGAGCTCTCATTTCAGTAAGGAGATCTTCACCTGTGTAAGGGCAGTACAGCAAAGTGAATGATTTGTACGTGGACACTCTTCTTCACACCCTGAGACTTGGAGAGTTCCAAGCAAAACACCAGTGGCTCACACTAATTGAACACTGTGTCATTTTTCCTGGAAAGAAATTGCACTGGGAAATAAGAGCTTAAAATTATTGGCCTGGTTTGAAAACAAAATACTAATTTGCAAGTTCTTGTATGTAACAAAACACTCAACCTCACTGCTTTCTGTTTAAGCAGACATACATTTAATATAGCAAGGCAGCCATTCTGTATCTAAAATGGCAGCAGTCCATAAGCTTGCAGTTTGCAGACCAGCCAGCTGCAAGTCAGTTTTCTGACACCGTTTCATACACTACTCACACAAATGTCAGCATGGCTTTGGGACCAAATGATGACCAAAAGCATGAGATGTGCTGTGGTTTGTGTGGGAAGTATTTCTAGATGGGAAGTGGATAATGTTTGTGTTTGCCATCCTATCACCCTGCCCAGAAAGGCAAGCAAATAAATTGTAACTATGTTTGTAGAGCTACTGAAATCGTTCAGCAAACAGAACATAACCTATTTGGTCTATATTTCAAAGCTGAAAGTATGTATCAGGAAAAAAAAATATATATATATATAGGAAAATGCTTTTCACGATGGCTATGCTGTGAACAGACCACCTGGACTATGGCCTCCGGCAGAGAGAGGCCCAGGGTACAGCCTTAGCTGAAGGCATCTCGGCTACAGGGAGCTCGGATCGGAGGGTGCTGTTGTTAAGGGAAGCGGAATCCCAGCGTAGATCCGGTCTGGTATGCTTCTGTACCTATCGGAGAAGGCACGATGTGAATGCTTCAGTGTTTACCCGGGTTATCATCGGTTGGTGAACAAAACCCCAAAACCCGGGGCAGAGAGAGGGGACGTGAAGGGAACGCCTGACTTCAGGACATGCTCACGCCGTTCCTCTTGTAGTTCTGCTGAGCAGGGGCTGAAGCGACACGTCAGCCGCAGACGATCGCGGACCGAATGTCGCCGTGCTCCGGGTGCCGGCGCTGACAAATGCGCTGTGATTACGGCAGGGCACCTGTGCTCCCGCAGCCCCTCCGGAGGACATCTCCATCTCGGGGCCGCTCAGCGCCGTAACGTGTGGCGGCCCTGCCCGGGTCTTACCTCAGGGCGAGGAGAGAGGGGACAGGGGCACCGCCGAGCCTCGGCTCCGCAGCGCTGCGGGGGGTGGGAGCGAGCCGCCGGGGGGGGGGGGGCGGGGCCGGGCGGCGAAGGGGGCAGGGCTGCTCGCCGCAGTCACCCTTACCCATACCGCGCCGGGGAGGAGAGAAAAAGGCCCCGCTCCGGCGGAGGGATACAGCGCTCCATATATAGCGGCGCGGCGCAGGCTCACACCCCCAGCACTTCTCGCACCGCGTCAGGGAGGAGGTAGCAGCTGCCGCCGCTCGTGGTCGCGCAGTTCGTGCAGCCGCCGTCGGGCCCGCCGCCGCGCCATGGTACGTAGTACAGCCGCGGGTTCAGGGGGCAGTGCGCGGGGAGCGGCGGTGTAACGGCGGTTAACGGCGGAACCCCGTGGCGCGGGGGTGGCGGGAGGCCGCGGCCCTTCCCGCCCGGCAGCGTTCCCCCCCTCCGCGCTGCGCGGCTCCCGGGCCTTTTCCTCCTCTTCCTCCTCCCTTCCCCTTTCTCTGGGCCCTGCCGAGCGGGACCCCGGCCCTCAGCGCGGCCCTGCGGCGCCGCCCGCCTTCTTTCCCTCCCTCCCACCTCGCCCTCCCCGCGCTGCCCTCCGGAAGGGCCGGGCGCGGCTCCGTGGGGCTGCGGCGGGAGCCCGGCACAGCTGCACTGCGCAGGGAGGGGGGGGGAGGCGGCCGGGGGAGGGCTCCGCGCTGCGGCTATTGCGCCCTCGCACCCCCCCATCCCCAAAAAACGCAGCATCGCCGCCCGCATTACATCATGTCTCCTCCTCTTCCTCCCCAGCCTCCGCGCACCCCCGGCTACGGAGGGGCGGGGGTTGGGGGGTGGGTAGCGCGCCTCGCTCGCGTCCCCGGCCCCGCGCGGGGGCTCGGCGGGAGGGGGTGGCAGAGCTCCCCGGCCCAGGGGCTGGCAGCAGGGGGAGGGACGGCCGCGCGGAACAGAGCGGGGCCGCAGTGCAGCAGCGCGGCCGCCGCCTGTTGCGCCGGCCCCGCCGTGGAAACGCGTCGCCTCGGTGCCGCGTGGCCTCTCCGAAAGACGAAGAGCCGGGGAAGCGCTCGGGTTTATTTTTCCCCGCGGCTCCGGTTTCTGTGGGAGCTCGGGCTGCGGCTGAGCTCTAATCGCTCCGCGGCCATCTGGGTGTAGCTCGGCGCTGTCTCTCCATCTCGCTTTCCTGCCGGGCGGCGCTGACATCACTCGGACGCGGGAGGGGGGGCGGGGGGGGGCCGGGTACTGCTCCGGCCGAGGCGCGGCGTGCCCGGGAGCCGCCGTCTCCGCCCCTGAGTGCGGCCGCAGGAAGGAGCCCTGCAGAACGGGACGCGGAGCGGTGCCGCGGGCCGCAGATCGTGCCGAGGCGGGGCTCTGCCTCCCGGCCTGCGGGGTGTGTGGCCGTTACGTAAATGTCCGCGAGCTGTAACATCTCATTTGCTGGAAAGTTGCAGAAAGAGTGGGAAGCCGAAGTGCGTTTTGGGTGTGTTTTCTGCAGCTGTTTGGTTCCACAAGATAATTGGTTTTTAACTGCGAGCGTTTTTGCAGGTTTTAACCACCCAGTACGTGGCATTGGTTAGTCACCTGGTACAGGCATTAAAATATTTTTTAAAAAGTGATGAAGTTCGCTGCCTAAGCGCAGAGATGCAGCCTGTTTGTTAATGCATACATCGGGCTTTCAGCCCTGTGATATTCCCCTGTGCTTTAACAGATAGTACAGCCAGGGAGTTCCCAATTGCTCTCTGCTGCTGTACCTGAAAGTAATGGGGTTTCAAGACAAAAGGGTTACAAGATGTCTTTCTTAGACCTATACAGTCATTTGTTGGGGTTTGTACAAGCTCCTCAAAAAATAGGTTTTAGAGGAGCTGATGCCTTGTGTTCACCAGTACCTCTGTAAAGGTGTGTAAAATCCTGCTTTGGGTTTGCTGTCTTGTCAATGAGAAGAGTTTCTTGCTATCGTTCCTCTAAAAGAGCTGGTTAGCTCTCTTAGTGCAAAGGCTGGAGGTGTGGGTGATGCCCTGCTCATCGTGATGTAGTCTTCTGGAAGGATGTGGTTGGCACAGTTAGGGGCTGCAGGTGTGCTCCTGCCTGCTGAGTCCCTGGGTGCAGTGCTAGTCTCCTCCTGAGCAGAAGGTCACAGGCAGGTGCTTTCCATCCTGCTGCCTAAAGGGGTGCACGAAATGGCCTTTGTGATGGTGGGAGACATCTTATGGTGGTTGGCCGTGTGAAGGAGTAACACAGTGCTTGAACTGGCACTTTGTTTCTGTTGGCTGGTGAAAATTTGTGGTACTGAGCAACAGTTCCTCCTGTTGCAGCACAGCCCTATTCATAAAGCATGCTGCAGGCTCACACTGGGGCTGTGCTGTGAGGATGGACCTGTGGAGGATCACTAGGTGGCACACTTGTCATTAGCCCACCAGCGTGCAAATGCCCCCTGTGCTTGATCAGGGCACTGTGCTTCTGGAGATGACATCTGATGTGATGTGAAACTCTAAACACGTGTCATTAAGGATTTCATGCCTGTCTGACCAATTACAAGGAGCCTGCCTGGTGTCCTTCACTTGACCAAATCGGGCTCTCTGAGTTGAAGGATGGTATATCTTAGTCTTAATGGGCAGCTCGGAGGAAAAGTGGCTTTCGTGTCTTTGGAAATGGCTGTGTTGTGTAGGTGAGTGGGATCTTCTAGCAGCAGGGGAATTCCAGGGGTTGAAAATGACCTTAATAATTATAAGTTGCTGCTGTGAAATTGAAAGGAAATGTCTTGGGGCTGGATGTTGCTAGAAGTGTTATTCTAAAGTGTTCTATTCTTCATGTAGGCTGACCAGCTGACTGAAGAGCAGATTGCTGGTAAGTACCTTGATAAATATTCTTGGCTAATTCCTTGTGAATGAAAAAAATCTCAAATACAGTGGACAAGTTGTCTTTCTGTGGTTTCAAATCTGTGCTAGCACTTCTTAAAAATAAAAGCACTCTGTTCTGAAAAGTTCTGGAAGATTACTGGCAATTCTGTCCTAGTGTACTGCTTCATTGGACCAGAGATGATTTGAGCCAGGCCTACCTATGTTTTTTACAAACAAGTAATTACTAGAATCTTGATTGCATGCTTGAAGTCAAGGCAGAACTAGCTGTCTTTTTCATGTGACTATAAACTTGAAGTCAAATGGCAACAAATAAGCCTTGAGCTGATTTCTTAATTTCTAAGGATGTGTCTAGTGCAGACTAATTGGGAGAAGAGGCAGTATTGGGCCTTCTGAAGACCAGTCACACCCACCTGAGATCACCAATTCTTACTCTGTTTCTTTAGTGTTATTGTACTCATCTTATTATTATTTTCACATTCTTCTTATTCCCATAAGCCATTTGATGGTAAAATAGGAAATTACAGCGTTCTTTTCACTTATCCTGCACAAATGTTTGTGATACAACAGTGGTTCAAGCAACAAGATGTTGAAATACATCAGCATTGTGATGTGATGCTAGTACATACAAGCCTAGGTCGTGTGGCTGTGCAAGCTATAGTTGGTATTGTAACTGTTTTTTCTTAATACTTGAAAATACTAATTGTGTTAATCCATGGACAAGCTTGTTTCTTAAAATATTACCAAGCATTATTACTGGAATGCATTTTTATATGCAGTTTTACCTTATGCTGGCACTGTTATTAATCAGTGGGACTGTTTCTGCCTCTAGAATTCAAAGAAGCCTTTTCCCTATTTGACAAAGATGGTGATGGTACTATCACAACAAAAGAACTGGGAACTGTCATGAGGTCGCTGGGTCAAAATCCAACAGAAGCAGAATTGCAGGATATGATCAACGAGGTAGATGCTGATGGTAAGTGTTAGAAAGATGGTTCTCATGCTGAGTGTTCTAAATATGTCTTCCATGCTCAGACTGTATAAAGAAGTTGCTGTGACACTGTTCTTTTGAAGCCAAATTTCAAAATACTGGCTAAAGTAAACTGAGAGGTGTCTGGTTATTCTTTGTTCTTAGCACAGCGAAGATGCTAGCAGTCTTAAGTGAGAATCTGAATGAGGATAGGCAGAGACAAAGTTATGCCGTTAGTCTTTAATATTTTATGGGTTGCAGGCTTCCTGTTGCTGCCCAACTTATCCTGACCTGCATTTAACCTGTGCTTCCACGTAGCTTTTCTGGACGTGTTTCATTGGCTCATGTTGTTCTGTGCTAATGTCTAGTTCTGTCTTAAGGCCAAAGATGTAATTAGAATGGTATAGTGCTGGACTCACAAGAGTTGAAAATGCAACAGGGAGAGACTGCATAGTTTAAAGCAGTATATTGGGTCACTACTGGGGGTGGGGCTGGAGGCTATCACTTGCAGAAGTAGGAAAACCTTAAGTGAGTCTTGATCAGAACCACTTCACGTGGGTGCCAGAAGAGAGAATAAGATTTTGTTTCTGAGACTTCAAGCAGACTGGCAGTTAGAAAAAAGGAGAGATGCCTTCCAATGCTCACTGGTGCCAAGGCTTTGATCTCATGTTGGCTGATTGATGCTTGCTGCAATAACTTGAAGAGTAGAAAGTGCATAGGCTAGAGCATGAATTACTTGATTGTTAGACTTATGTTAAGGTTGCTTTTAGAAAATGGCGGGGGACTGTAATTGCCAGCTGTCTTTGCAGATACTGAAACTTCCCGATACTCAGGATTTGCAGTGATATGTAGATGTGTATAGTGGCTTATTCAGGTACCATTCTGCAGTGTTGCACTGGTTGATTAAAATTGAAAAGAGATTGTGGATTTCAGATAAGTACGCTCTGCCCGTATGTTTAAACTTGTTTTACGGCAAGATGCTTTGCTAATAGTCTACGGTTCATTGAGAGTTTTTTTTTTTTAAAGCTTTGTGAGAGACTTGTATTCCAGTTGGTAAATGAAGCTTGCTGTTATAAATAGCTCCACGTTTCAGTCTGGAATCCCTAAACAATGAAAGCTTTCTGAAACTTCTGTTACCTGCTTTGTTGTATTTACTGGATGAGTTTGTTTCCTTCAGTAAATGGGTAGATCTTAGCTATGTAGTGAGCTACTTAATGTTTTCCTTCAGCTGTTGAATTTTGGGTTGTATTGTAGGATTGAATTGTGACTATGCTAACCTGGCTTGTGCTCTTTGGAGGATCTTTATTAACTGTTTCTCTTGGCTTTGAGAAGTCTCAAATTTGAATCCTTACTTTGAGGAATTTAAATACCAGACTTTCAGTTTTTGCTGTGACGCTTGTATCAGAATACTTGTTGAGCTTATGAGAAATATCAAATAATGGCAGCTTTTCTCATAAGTTTGCAGATGCCTTTTGCCACTTAAAATTGTGCATTACTTTGGTGCACAGCATGGGTTAAGGAAGTTGGTTTTAAACAAGGAACTTCAGAGTTTAGATGTTGTGGATTTGTATTGCTTTTCTAGAACATTACACAGCATTTGGGAAGAGGCTGAATAAACTAAATGATGAGTTATGGAGAAGGACATTAAGTAGGTGAGTCTACAAATTGTAAACCTTGGAACATTAGAGAGACATTTTGCTTGGGTGGTGGAAAAAGGTGTGGCTTGTCCTGGAGAGGGCAGCTGTAGAACTTGTACTGAAACACTGAGGTGGAAGTGACTGTTGCATATTGTAAAAGGATAAAGGCAGTGGTAACAATTTATGAAAACACGAGGTTCTTATAGAAGAATAATGTGAAGAACCTATTGTTCTCATTCTTGTGCCTGGCTAAATTAAATGCCAGGTTTTCTTGCATAAAAGTGTGGAAGTTTTAATTTTGGGGAATTTCTTTTTATTAAGGTAACGGCACTATTGACTTTCCTGAATTTTTAACCATGATGGCCAGAAAAATGAAGGACACAGACAGCGAGGAAGAAATCCGTGAGGCATTCCGAGTTTTTGACAAGGTAACCCTAAATCTTCGAGTATCTTCAGAAGCAGGAATGATGCCCATCTTTTCCTCAGTGCTTTCTCACCTGGAAGCAAAGAAGTTCTTTAGTATAGAAGTCCTATGGTATAAGAAGGGGAATTGACAGCAGCAATCTCTGCCTTGTTGCAGAGCGAGGAGATTGTACCTACACAGCAGAGCTGAACTTAAGGTTCTTCTTGGAAGAAAACTCACTGGCCTTCCCTTAGGAGCAGAGATGAGGGTGTGATGCCTGGGGTGTGAAAGGATGTCTTTTAATTTCTGTATTCACTGACTTTGGGGAACTGGGGAGATGTTTGCGTAGGTATGTGAGATTTTGATACCTCATGAAAGCTTCTGAAGCAAGATGTCATTAGTATTTACAGGGACATGAAGTATTGCATTTTCTGCATTCAAGGTATGGTCTTGAAAGTTGCTTTCAGTGGAACTCAAGCTCAAGTCCTACCTTCGTTAAGGATACCTGGCTGTACATGGCAAAAATTCTGACAAGCTATTGTTAGAGGAGGGGTTTCCCTCAGTTGTTACAAGAGAATTATTGTGCAGTGGCTGATGCAGCTGATAAGCTCATGCCAAAGGTTTCTCTGCTTTTTATGGAAAAAGTGCAAGTCTGATTCTCTGCTGGAAAGCACATGGAAATGTTGAATTCTTTAGTTACCACTCACCTCCCCTCTGATTTTATTTTTGCAGACTAGATTTAGGTGATGGCAGGTATGACACAAAGGCCATGCTGTAAGCTAGTGCATTTTTCATGTAGGTGGAAGGGGGAGATTTTCCCAATTCCAGAGATGTCTGGATATATGCTCTAGGGTTGGATGTTACTAATAGGAATGCTGACTTAAAATCATATTTCTCTTTTTGCCATTGTGCTTTTCACAGCTGCTTATGAGTAGAATTAAAATGCTTTTTTTGAAAGTGTGATTTGTTCTAAATCTTAAAACAAGTAGCCTAACCTAGCTGCATGAGTTCTCTTCATAGAAGCAGTGCTACACAAAATAGAAAGCTGATTTTTATTGTTGCTGGCAGGGGAATTGATCTTTTTTTCTGCTTAGGCAGCAGAGATGAAGTAAACTTTTTTTTTTTGAAAGATCTTTAGAAGCATTACCACAGTTTAAAAAAAAAATCCAGCATGTTGTTAACTATTGCAATTTATTCTTTTAAGTACTATAATTAGGTAAGGATTTAGTGGGATGTAAGTTTCATAAGGTGATGGGACTGGTACATACTGGAGGGTTATAAAGTATACTGGATGTGTTTCATGTGCTGTAAGGCTGGTTTAAAAGCAGTCTCTAGGAACCTAAGCATAGTTCCAGTGTTAATAATCATTATCGGGGTTGTTGATGATAATCTTGTGAAACTTCCCCCACAGGATGGCAATGGCTATATCAGCGCAGCAGAGCTACGTCATGTTATGACAAACTTAGGAGAAAAGCTAACAGATGAAGAAGTAGATGAAATGATCAGAGAAGCAGACATTGATGGGGATGGGCAAGTCAACTATGAAGGTAATGGATACTTACATTGACGTCAACCACTGGTTGGATTTAGTGAATGTATGCTGGGTAGGATGTATTTCCTAGTATTTGAAGGCAACTGGTTGATTCAGGCATCCGCTTTTGTGGATAAAAATCAGATGCAGTGAAGTTTTTTATTGCTAAAGTTAAAATTTATGTAACAGTTGAAAGTACTTTAGAGACAATAAATCGGTGACCTTTTATCTTTTCAGAATTCGTACAGATGATGACTGCAAAGTGAAGAGACCTCCTTTACACCTTTTTTCCTCTAGAAGAATCAAATTGAATCTTTTACTTACCTCTTGCAAAAAAAGTTCATTTATTCATTCTGTTTCTGTATAGCAAAACTGAATGTCAAAATACCTTCTGTCCACAAACTGCATGTAATGGTTGGTGGTCCTGTCCCCAAAAGATCAAGTTAAACATCAGTTTTACAATATAATTAATTGTACTACCTTGAAAAATAAATAAATTAAAAAAAAAAAAAGGAAGCACTTAGTGAACTCGAAAGTTCCATTTGCTAATGACTATTACACTGTTTGGGCTGGCCAGTTTTTCATGCATGCAGCTTGACAATTGAGCACAGTCAGACATTTGTATTAAAAGGAAAAAAAAAAACCTTAAAGATCCACTCTTTTGTTCAACAGTGGATTCTAGATCAATTTGTAGTATAAATTGTCATAGCTGGTTTACTTTAAAATTGGTTTATACCTCAGGATGGTATACAGCAAAAATGGTTGAAGGATATGAAACTTAGAGAAAATGCCCAAAAGGTTGAATGGTTCTCCTGTACGTAGCAGTGTGCTCCAAAAATATGATGATCTTAACCATGGATGGCATGTCTGTGATAAAAAATATTGGTTTAACATTGTCTGCATTGCACTATAGTGAAACGGGTGTCGGGCTGTTACCGTTCACAAAATTTTTAAAAGAAACCTTCACCAAGGGAGCATCTTTGGACTCTCATATTTTTAAAACCTTCTGTACCATGACTTGGAGCTGGCGGAGTAGCCTGTGGACTTCAGCACAACTATCAACATTGCTGTTCAAGATATTACAGTTTATGTCCATTCCAAGTTGTAAATGCTAGTCTTTTTTTTCCAATAAAAGACCATTAACTTAAAGGTGGTGTTAAATGCTTTGTAAAGCTAAAATATATATATAATTGAGATAACAAACCAAAAAAAGCAGTAGGAGGGAAGCGTTTCTATGAATGACTTGCTGCTAAATTATAATGCACATGTATGCAATAAGTTATCCCCTATCTCTTCAAGATGGCAAGAACTGACCTCCTGTAACCCAAGACCTTTGCTATAAATAAATGAACTTGTGCTTGCCTTTCATATTACGACAATGTTAATTTAGTTGGTCTTAAAGTCGTGTAATGCTGACTCGTCAACTATCAGCACAGAAGTAACACCTCATTTCACTAAAGTGGAGAGCTCTCAGCATGCATGTCAATACTGGAGGAAATATAGATAGGTTGCTATGTTTTTTTTTGACAGGTTATAGAAGCCAGTTGGAGCACTAGAACAGCATGGGCTTCATAGAGATCTGTGATTATCAAACATGCCAAAAAAGCGTTTCTCTACCCACAGAAAGAAAAGAAATGAATGTTTCTCTTACAATATGCTTAAAAGAAATAAGCCTTTTTGGAAACGGGGGCTATTATGTCTTGACTATCTTCTCAAACACTTGCATGAATTTTACAGGGTGGAGAAGAGGACTAGGGTTAATTTTAAAAGTCTTGTTACTTCTGCTTTGCATGCACTAGCAATGCTTAGTCATTCCAGGTCTTTGAGTAAGTGTTCTATGATCCTTCAGCTTCCCCATGAATGAGTGGCAAAGCAGCTGTGCCCACTCTTCTTTGTTTGAAAGAAGGTTTTTTTTTTTTTTAAAGTAGCAGAGCCTCCATGTGGTAGGCTGTTCATGCTTGGGAGGGAGGGACTACAGCTTCATTACTTGATTAAGTTTGTTTCCAAATGTAACTGGAGTTGCAAACCTAAATTGCTTAATTGCCTTTGGTTTTGGAGAGTGCTGATACTATCTCATGAGAGAGAGATGTGAGTCTCCAGTAGTCCTGTCTAACTGAGGTGCCTGTGTTAAGAAGTTGGTTGGAAATGGGGTAAAGAGACACCTCCAGGAGGCAATTAAGACTGTCTGCCTTCAGCGGTTCTTGGTTTTTTTGGGGGATAGTTGTTAGGGGGTGGTTCTGGGCGACCAAGTACCCAGATAACTTAACCAAGTGCCTGAAAGTTAGATGGGTTGAATCTAGGCAATAGTGTAGATCTCCAGTTGTAAAGGCTATTGCTATGGCTGCGTGTGCCGTCATAACAAACCAGCTGCTGTGATGAAATTGCCTGACTACCATTTGGGAAGTAAAGCCTTGCATGGCAGCTGCAAACTGCTACTTTAGGTAGTGCTTGAGAAGGGCTGTGCTGATTGTGCAGACTGGCTTTTATAGAGAATGGACTTGAGAGGCAGGCAAGGTAGGAGCAATGGTTGCTGCTCTGAGCTAATTACTTCTGCCTGAGTGTGCAGAGAGATCTTGTCTAGTAGGTAAATACTTCTTACCATCTATCTGTCATTCACTCATGGTTGGTAGGGTAGTTCATTTAAGAACAGCTGCTTTTAGCTTATTCAGTGTGCTCTGTGCTTGCTAGCAGAGACCTCATTCCTGCAAGAGGTTCTTGGCTTGATTAGAAATTGTCTGGCAGCGTGCAGTGTTGGTATGCCCTGTAACTGAATCTGCCTGGAGGTATCTAATTAACTGACTTCAGTACCACATCAACCTCGAGTAAATGTATCCTCTGTACAGGACTTTAGCTCTGTTCCTTTCTGCATAGTGAATATCTAGAGAAGTGTCATCAAGGACTTTTTTTCGTGTGTGTGTGCGTGTGGCTTTGGCTTTTTCCAAATGTGAAAGTGTGGGCTGGATACACTTGGTGCATGGCTTAGAAACATGGGACTGGAAAGAACTTCCTGGGTCATCAGATCCAGTCCCCTGCTATTGCAGGCAACCGTGTCACATAATCCTTTTAATAAACTGATCAAGCTTAACCACCTGCTTGTAAGTGGCTTGTTTTCATGGAAGTTCTGTAACTCATGTTGCTCTCAACTGATGCAAATAATATATGAAATATGAAGTTAATCAAAAGGTCCTCCAGCTTAGCTTCAGATTTGTCATTACACTTATTTAACTGCCTTTCTCAAAACATGTTTTTCTTTGCACAACACTCAGGAAAGTGTTGAATCTTTACACCCCCTTGTTATGAATAAGAGTTGGTGTGCTTGCTTATTTTTTTTTAATGGAAAAGATGGATGTCTGGCTTGTTGAAACTTGTTAGATGTGTTAATTGTCAAGGCAAGAAACAATTGAGTTGTATTTGATACATAAATTTAAGGCTAGAGTATACATAACCATTTTTAAAATACATCAACTTGCAGTGTAGTTTTATATTTAATACTGAAATTGTACTGCTAAAGTTTAAACTGCTGTTAATCATATTCCTCTTCTGATCATAATGAAAAATAAAGGGTAAGAAAATGCTTAACATAGATTATTCATTATCATGCTTATTTTATTAATCATTCAGGCACGCATGTCCTAAAATGTCTCCAAGTAGGGGGCATTTGCTTTGTGTGCTGGGACGGGGTGGGATGAAGGGGGAGGAGGGGGCTACCAGTCTGATAGAAAACTCACTGCAACAGTTCATCCCGCTTCTGCGGCTTCGGTAACACTGATGCTGTTGAGAATTGATCCAGATGTTAGCCTACATCTTACTGATTAATTAATTGCCTGTGGGTGCAGGTCTGATCCATGGGTTGTGTGCATGGTGCTGCAGCTGGCATCTCTGTGCCCTGCACAGCTTGGTGGGAGGGGACAGAGGCCGTGTCTTGGTCCCTGTAGTGCGGTGTGTGATAACAGTGCAGATCCTTCCTCCCAGGTGACACCACGTTAAACTAAAAGTCTTGGTGTTTAAGAATAATGAAGTTGAACAGAATGCATTTTCCTACTGTGAAAACTAACTGGAACACCTACCTTACTAAAATCCCATTAGGGTTTGGGTTATTTATTTTAAATTCAGTGATTTAAGTGAAATCTGACCGAAGGTACTGTAGTGAGACCACGGGATATATATCTGGCTATTGACACCTAGCAGTCAAGTGAAGATAGGGGATGAGGGCCAGTGCTATGTTTCCCTGACTGATGTTTAGGAAAGCAAACCTGAATCTACTAAGTAGAACTGATGAACCCTTACAATCTGTAAGGCAAATGCGTATAATTTTATTTGCAGGATTTTCACAGAAGGTTGCAATTCCAAAATACTAAAACTTGTGGATTTTTTGCTGTTTGTTTGCTTTTAAATCCAAATGCAGGATTTTGAAGTAATTAAGTAAATAATGAGTTGCATATGGATTTGGAATTCTGAAGAATCCTAATATTATTTGCCATAGCAAATTTGTATGAAGACCCCGAGTACTTAGAAGATCAATGCTAGATGTTTTCTAAGAACCCCTATTCAGCAAGTATCTCAGGGAGGCATTCAGAAGATACAGTACAGATACAGGAGATTCAGTAACAGTTTATAATTAGTTTTAAGCTTGATATTAATAAATTCAGTTCTAGATGAAGTGGCCAAATATGCATAAATGACAGAGCTGTCAATTACATAGAAGCTGAATCACTTACAGTCCCCCAGATGATGAAGCACAGCTGGTATCTACTAAGAAATGAGTGCCTACTTTGGTATCCTCCCTGCTGGTAACAGCAGCCATGAACTTTGCAGAGCAATGCTCCCCTCCCTGTGGCACCAGCCAGAAGCCTCTTCTTGCTTTCCTGAGTACTTATTTGCTCTGTAGAGGCGAGAACACATTTCAGAAGCAAGAATGTACCTTCCTGACATGAAACTATTCAGTTCCACAGGGAAAAAAAAAAACAACCACAACCATTTGATTCAAGAAAGGAGCCTGCTGCAGCAGTGGGTTACATTTCTCCAAGATTCCTGTGTAGTTGGAGAAGCTGAGCAACATCATCAGCGTTACAAGAAAAGCACTTAGAAACAATTCTCCTAGCATCTCCACCAAAGGCTCTAACAAAAAGGTTACTGGTTATTTTGTGGAGCATCACAGGTCTCACAGGTATGGGACAAATCTGGCTGCCTCTGGCAATGAATACTGCAGCCTCATATGCACTAACTTCTTGCTCTGGTCTTTCACACTTAATTGACAGGGAAATCTTGTTCAGATCTCAGAAAAGTCACTTTCATGTCAGTTCCCTTTGCCCTGGAAAATGTGCAGAAAGACTGGAAAAAAGTATTCATAACACAACCTTTTCCTGGCAGCAACATTTCTCAAGATAGCTAGTAGTTCAAATGCAATATAAGAACTGGGATAATCACCTAAAAATGAATCATTCTGAATAGTTTATTTCTACATCTCTAAATAGGAAATGCTTGGAAAAAATTGTTTTTGAACAAAAGCTGCTGTATCAGTCTCAGCACTTAAAATGAGCACAGTATTTGAATGGGAACCAATTGAATCAACTGAGCAAGTCAAAAAGATTAAATTTATCATTCCCCACATTTTGCTAGACTGCAGTGGAATTGATAGTTCCGAATTACTGTCAGTGGACTAGCTGTAGTTTTGGATTCAGATTATTTTTTGCTAACTGCTTGTTTAACCAAAGTACAGTGGAGAAAAGATATGAGACATACAGAGGGAGGTTATTTGGGAAAAGCAGGCTTGAGTACAGTAGAAACTAGAACAAGCAGAAAAGGATGGGGAAATGCAGAGTGATATCACTCTTTCTGGTAACTTAAGAAACACGTAGATATGATGCTGAGAGATGGGGTTAGTGGGCGTCATCGTTACGGGCTGATGGTTGAACTTGATGATGTTAGAGATCTTTTCCAACCTTAATGACCGGACTGTAGGATTCTATGATCAGTACAGTAATTATTCTGAAAATGAATATGGTGAAAGAAAGGGATAGGGTGTGAGGGAATGAGGAGCATACCTGAACATAGGTCTGCTTTGGTTTCTTGTCTCATGGAGTATTTGTTGCCCACAGATTTATAAATATTCGATAGCAAGCATTCTGGGCAATAAGTTTTTCTGGCGGTGGTGCTATGCGCTTTCCTTAACACCACTACTGTCTCTCAAAAACAAACAAACAAAAATCCACCAGAAAAAAAACCAAAACCTAGACCACTACACACTAGGTCTATATATACCTAGAAATATGCAACATAGGAAAGTTAACTGTAATTCAGAACTTGCCAGATGTGCAAGTGTTCTTCACTGTCTTTTCAAATACATTAAAATGTATTTGAAATGTCCT